GCTTAATAAGCGGCACCCCGTGCTGCCACCCGCCTTTCAAAAGCGGACTTCTGCTCTACGCATCACCTCTTCTTGACCCCTCCATACTTTGCCTTTCTATATTATATTAAACGCCGACGGCTCTTCTCTCCCAGTTCATTATCTCATAGCGCGAAGTTTCAGAGGAAAATCTCGAAATACGAAGTTTCAGCGTTTTCATTAAAGGCGCGGTTAGTATGCGTCAGAGTGAAAGCTCTGCGGGGACATGAAAGCGGGTTCTTTGCGTTGCAGGTGTTCGGATTCTGGTTCGAATGTTATGTCAGCCGTCAGCACTTTGTAACTGCCTTTCCGAGCCTAAATGAGTCCGCTTGTTGTAAACTTCGCACATCTTTGCACAAGGGTTCTTTGCACAAGGGACCTGTAGTGGCGTATTTCGTACATAAAGTTTAATACCCCAGTCGTACTTTTGTTGGACAATATGAAATAATAGCAAATGGTGTTGAGAAAAAACTACTTGAAAATAAATAATTTGTTCAACATTGAAGGCAAATATTTTTTCTCTAAATTCAGAGAAATTCAATGTCAATCAATCAATCAATCAATTTATTTCCTTTTGATAAGGTGGAGTACAGGACTAAAAGCTCAAGAGCTTGACGAGGTCCTGACCCCATTCACAAATTTACAAAGCAGCAGGAATGGCAGACAATCATGCACAACAAATATGAAATAAACATATAGGTATAACATCAGAAATAGTTATACAAAAAGTTTATGAAAACAGTGCTAATATAAAAAGAAAATAGTTCAAATGTATGGTCATGAAGTGGCATGAACATGAAAAGCAATAATAAAAAGGAAAGTATGGGCATAAATTCTGAGAGATGTATCATTGAGGATAATGTATCAGTTGGGCGAAGTGTTTAATCTGACAGTTTTGTTTAGAGAAAATCCTGTAAAAGAGCTCAAAATAAAATAAAATAAACTGAACAAGAGTAAGAATGATGGTAACCGTGGGAAAAGAAAAGGATGAGTGATAGTGTTAGCCTCTTCCCCCTCTCTATCCCCTCTACCTAAGGCATCCCCACTTCTTGTTGAGCGTCATCAAATGCCGAATCGTCCACTACTACTTATCTCTGAGGCTTTATAATAGGGTGCACTAAATATTTACTGGCTCTCTAAGTGACACACAAAAAAGGGGGAATGTAGTTGAAACACCGCACAAGTACTTATTTTTGTGCAAAGTTCAAGTTTTTTATGGGCTCTACAAACACACAATGTTTGAAATATATCAATCATTCGAATTTCGCTTGCACCCTCTTGCACACATGGACACTCAGAACATAACACTGAAAAAGATATGTACCGGGACGATTACATACAACACACAGGCCTATGTTCTTGTTTTCTCGTCTTGAGCTTCTCAGAATCAGCAGTGAAATGTGATGTCAACACTTCGGCAGTTTGTAGCCATTTTTCAACAAAATACAGTGAAAGAGATCTTAAACCATACCTTAAACTGCTGTAATTTTTATACAGTATATTTTACTCTTAGAAGAATTTTTCCAGCAAAAGCTGTTACGAGATGAAAACTACCCCGCCGTGGTGGTCTAGTGGCTAAGGTACTCGGCTGCTGACCCGCAGGTCACGGGTTTGAATCCCGGCAGCGGCGGCTGCATTTCCGATGGAGGCGGAAATGTTGTAGGCCCGTGTGCTCCGATTTGGGTGCACGTTAAAGAACCCCAGGTGGTCGAAATTTCCGCAGCCCTCCACTACGGCGTCTCTCATAATCATATGGTGGTTTTGGGACGTTAAACCCCACATATCTATCAATACGAGATGAAAACTCGTGTAACGCGCCGCGCCGTTGTTGTCCACCGCCGCCGCCGCCGCCGGTGTCTGTAACCACTATCGCTGGAATAAGATAATAAACTTAGCGGGTGATTCCACGAGAGATCGACACGGGTCCAAAAGTTGATATATTAGATTTAATTGAGTATTTTATATTTCGTGCACCTCTCACCAGGTAGCCCGAAAGTCAACTACGTTTTATTATTAACGGCATAACTTACGAGGAAAAAAAATATCAAACTTCACCAACACGGAGGCACCAATTTCGTCACCTGTCATTTTCGAAAATTGCAGATGCTATAAAAAGACAAACATTTTTGTTTCAAGGAAGATATTTTTTACCTGAGATGTATGTCTAATGAAGAATGAATTCATACGGTTTCAAGTTTGTAGACCTTAAGCAAATAGCTTTTAAAAATGTCTAATTTTGCGACAGTTTAAAATAAGTTACGTATACCCCATTTTTTTTCTCCGAAAGTAATGCAAGCAGCGTTTTCAAGCTTGACACGTTTTAAGGATATAGTGTGTTGATTAGGTACTTAAATTATTGCTGCCGTAGGGGAAATATAAATTTTTATATATTGCCTCAAAATTCTCATATTGGCAAAAGTGTACTCCACTGAAATTCGAATAATGAAAAAACCCCATCTTCGAGTTTTTTTTTTTAAATCTCGTAAATAGACAACCGAAGGCCATCATACAGTAATATAGAAAAACATGTTGCATTATTTAGTTTTTAGCGACAATATTCGTGGTGCAAATCAGAGCTTTTCGAGAAAGCGCTGATAAGTTGAGAAATCTAATAATCGGAACGGAAAAGCGGCAATGAGCTTCAAATGCGAGTAAACGTGACCGCATTTGGTGAAGAAAGGCTGTTTTAGCAGATGGGAGTAACTATTTTGATCACGGTATTCTACAGTATCTGAATTCACTCTTATACGTAGAGCACTGAGACTTGTAATATCTGGTGCCTCTCCATTACTGACACACAGATGAAGCTGCTGTGACGGCCATGTGTTTGCAACACGTTGGCTAAGAGAATTGAATGTTGAATGAGTTCATAAACGATTCATAACAAATTTTTATCATTTGGGGCACGAAGACTGCCGCATTAAACTGAAGAATACGCTTTAGGGCAAGTTGTCATCCGTCGTCTGCTCTGCATATGAATTGCTGTGCGCCGCATCTGGAGGCAATGCTTTAGATCATATGGTTCAAAGTAGGGACAAAGATTACGAGAGGCGTAATTGCCGCTTTTCCGTTCCGATTCCTAGATTTCTCAACTTATCAGCGCATTCTCAAAAAGCTCTGATTGTACCACGAATATTGTCGCTAAAAACAAAATAATGCAACATGTTTTTCTATATTACTATATGATGGCCTTCGGTTGTCTATTTACGAGATTTTAAGAAAAATCGAAGATGGGTTTTTTTATTATTCAAATTTCAGTAGAGTACACTTTGGCAATATGAGAACTTTGAGGCAATATATAAAAAATTTACATTTGCCCTACGGCAGCAATAATTTATGCACCTAATCAACACACTATATCCTTAAAACGTGTCAAGCTTGAAAACGCTGCTTGCATTACTTTCGGAGAAAAAAAAAATGGCGAATACGTAACTTATTTTAAACTGTCGCAAAATTAGACATTTTTAAAAGCTATTTTTTCAAGGTCTACAAACGTGAAACCGTATGAATTCATTCTTCATTAGACAAGAATTTCAGGTAAAAAATATCTTCCTTGAAACAAAAATATTTGTTTTTTTATAGCATCTGCAATTTGCGAAAATGACATGTGACGGAATTGGTGCCTCCGTGTTGGTGATGTTTGATATATTTTTTCTCGTAAGTTATGCCGTTAATCATAAAACGATGTTGACTTTCGGGCTACCTGGTAAGAGGTGCGCGAAGTACAAAATACTCAATGAAATCTAAGATATCAACTTTTGGACCCGTGTTGATCTCTCGTGGAATCACTCTAGTACCAAGGACACACTGTGGTTCGAACCCAGCTCCGTTGCGTGCCAGCCCAATATTCCACCAATGAGCGACGCTGGTTCTTGGAACGTGCTCACAAACTTGCCTTAGGCAGGTTTGGTGTCGGGAAAGGAATTGCGTTAATATGAGTAACAAAGCGTTTTAGAACAGCAAATAAACCAACTGGCCTCACACAATGTGAACAGCTTAACGAATCGATTGCCCAATACTCCAACCCACTACGAAAGCTTGTTCTTGATCCCGTAATAACTATTGCGCATACCAACTTCAGGCATGTTTTCTCTTCGACGTCAGCCACGGCGTGAACAATTGGCACAAAAAACCTTGGAAGTGTGTAGCGGATGTAACGCTTCTCAGAAAAATGACCAATGATAGCATAGCGAATGCCAGCCAAATACCCAGAAATAATAGTGTCAATGCCGTTGCGAGTATCCAGCAAATGTGTTTGCAGCAGTTACCCAAATAGTGCTTAGAAAAGGCTCTGAAAGGCCGCTCTTCTAGCTTTCGCTGTGACTGTGCTGCAGCTTCCGCGCAGGCCTAGCGTTTGTTATTTGAGTTACACTGAAGAGAAAAACGGTCTTTACGTATTTGTAAACTACAATTCTACAATCTCGACAACGCCACTCTTACTGCGAGATGATGCGCGACAAGAAAGTGTGGGTGAAGACGTCATCTTGACATTCCCGCACCAGGCACCGTGATGTCGTGGATTTCGACAGTGTCTGTGGGTTCTACGTAGTTCCTAAAAGTACTCTTTGATGGGCTTGTCGGTTCACGTTCCTGTCGGTTAAGGTAGTTTCTAATCAGTTAGGTAGTTCCTAATCGGTTAAAATAAAACAGGTTATCATCTGCGAAGGTTGCGGACCTAATGTACGCAGTTTCTGAAAATTTTACAGAGCCCTTGTTGCCAAAGTGCGAAAAGTACATTGCGAAGTTTGTGATATTATGTGTGGCCATCCCAGCGCGAAATGGAAAATGCAATTTCAGCCTTGGTTTTCTCTTATTTAAAGTTACGATGGTGAAACATGCGGCATTGGTGTGTTCAGACAACAGTTTAACCATCTAAACGAAGTCAATGTCTCACTTTGTCGCCCCTTCGACGTTCATGACAAACTTCATTCTATGTTCATACTGACGATTTCCCCCCCGCCCCCTTCTCTCTTTTTATGCAGCGAACGCTAGTGTGCTCGTGCTGCCAGAGGAGGCCCGTGTTGACATCGGTCGAGCGGTGACGTTCAACTGCTCAGCACGTGGCTTCCGTGGGACGGTCGCCTCCACCTGGTGGGTGCATGACGGCACGCCCCTCAAGACAAGCCCACCACGCGTGTCGCTGCGTTCGGACGACCAGCGGCTGCACATATCCAATGTGATGCGGGAGGACGCAGGCATTTACCAGTGCTTCGTGCGCTACGGAGACGCCACGGCACAGGCCAGCGCCCAGCTCAGGCTACGCGGTGAGATTTTTAGGGGCGAAGCTCCTTAAGGCGTAGGCTTGTCTACCGTAGATGTCTGTCGTAGCCACCCCTATAAGCGAAGTGTCCTCTAGAGCACGCTCGCATCGCTCGCATCGTTCGAGATGTTTCGACAGACAGACATACAGGCAGACAGATGGATGGACAGACAGACAAACGGTCGGACGGAGGATTCACGGTTCACCGATGAAACCCTCCGCAGCCGCGGCTTCGCCGAACTCATCATGATTCACTTCGTGGATATGCTTTGAATAATTTCGAACTTTCATTTAAATCATTCTAATTGATCACAGTTTGAACATACACTATAAGAGAAGATCGTGTAAACTCAACGTTATTAAAAGGCAAAGCTCCTTAAGCCATGGATTTCTCCCTCCTAGCTCATCGTGGTTCGTGGCTGCCTAGTTTGATTTCTCACTCAGCAGGTGTGGATGGGCGGACGGACGGACGGACGGACGGACAGACAGACAGACAGACAGACAGACAGACAGACAGACAGACAGACAGACAGACAGACAGACAGACAGACAGACAGACAGACAGACAGACAGACAGACGTATAGGCGCACGGACGGACGTGCGGATGGACAAACGGATGGACAGATGAACGGGCGGACGCACGGACGTGCGGATGGACAAACGGATGGACAGACGAACGGGCAGACGCATGGACAGAAGCAAGGATGGACGCGCGGACGGATGCACGGACGGACGAAAGCAAGGGCGCACGGATGGACGCTTTACCCCACTCATCAGCACTCACTCCGTAGTTATGCTGTGATTTTTTTCTCGTTCTTTTCGTCCCACATTATAACTGTCATCTGGGTGTCCTAGAAAACTCACAGCTAGCCCATTTTTTATCAAGAGCTTTGTCAATTTTTGTCACGCTGATAACGCTGATGCTGTTGGCAATCTGAAGTGCCGGGTGCGGGATGGTAATGCAAAGAATTGCACACAAGATAGATGACGATTGTTGTTGAAGAACGAACACAAACTCATTTTACTCAGCCGTTTTTTTTTTTTTAAGTGTACGTGAACTTCGAACGTTAGAATTGATCTGTGCTCCCGTATTAATCTGTTCTGTCATCGAAGCAAGTCCACCGACGAGGTAAAAACACCTTGCACCATCGATACATTTGGCATATTGAGGACATCGTCCAGCGTGGTGATATTTTGTACTTGTCGACAACATTTTCATGACATAGATATTTACAATGCATGAAACACTATTTACTTAGTCTCCATTAGTCTTAAAGTAATAAAATAGAAAATTGGGTGATTTGGTTTGACGACATTCTTGGTAACATTTCGGTGCGCACACAGTGGACGGGAGAACGGAAGGCTAGGAAGCTTGTTTGTCTCCTAGCCTTCCGTTGTTTTCTGTTCATTGTGTGCGCGCCGAAACGTTTCCATTAGTCTTATTTGTTGCCTCATGAGCGGAACTTATTAAACAACGTATGATACTAATGGAAGCACCAATCAACACATGAATGCAAGACAGCAGACGTTAGAGATAAATTTAGACCTTTAGAGGGATGGGGTTGAATTGGTGATAGCACATTTTGTCAAGGAATGGCGCATACAGAAACGAATACAAAATAAGGGGAGGAAATGTGGCAGCTTGGGCTAATTGGTATGGCATGACGATAGTTATAGCGCGAGAACAAAACGACGACACAGAGACAAAAAGGAAACGAAAGACACGAGTGCTCGTGTCTTTCGTGTCCTTGTCTCTGTGTCGTCGTTTTGTTCTCGCGCTATAACTATCGTCAAGGGGAGGAAACACTCAAACGCACTTTTAGTGTCTGTTTACTCCTCAATTTGCCTTTGTTTAGCCTATGCGCTGTTCCTTAACAAGAATAATAAATTTTTACGTTCGTCTTGCTCCTTAGAAAACCATTTTTCTTTTGTAAAGTGCTTTCTTTTTTCTGTCGGTGCCTGCGTGAGATTCCAAATGCGCATGTTGTTCTAATGAACCTTAAAACAGCAATGCCTGTTACCATTCGCCCCCGCCCCATTTTTTTTTTAATGTGCGTCGGTCCTCTATAACGAAGCATGCTTTTTATTAAACGATTGCCGTTCGTTTCTGCCTCTTTTTTTCTAAACAGAAGTCCACTCAAAGCGGAGCGTCCAAAATCGTGTCAGCCGGCGCTGGAACGGCCAGAACAGCTACCTCAAGTCGAGGAAAGGTAATCAGTCTCCTGCTTTACGCCTCGCGAACCCTAAGAACTCGTGCATTGCCTGGCAGCCCTGGGATACCTTCATCATCGATTCTTTTTTTTTCCTTCCTACTGCACCATTTATCCAGCGTGTAAACGTGTCTCTACGAGGAAAGACGATCGAAAGGTTCGTTTCATTGCCTGATGCTCGTTCCTATAGGGCGAATTCTTTTTCCATGCCGTATTAGATCATTCGTCACAACGTACCGTCTTTCCACATCGACCTGTTTACTCTTGTTCAAAAACGGGATTAAGGCGTAAAATTGTAAGGAGGGGTGCAGAAAATGAAATGAGCGCACAACTATGAAAAAAGCACACAGCGCAATCAAATGGAACACTCAGGAGAGAAAAGGAGAATGAGATAGAAAAAAAATGTTATTTGCGCGTGACTGGGATGAATGCAGAGCCAAAGCTGAGTGGCGCGTTTAAAAAAACAAAAAAAACGCATTTTTATCTCGACTGAAGTTGTAACGCGTGTCTGGGGAGTGAGCGCACTTTTTTTTTCGTTTCCCAAAAGTTGGCGGTGGCACCGAAGAGGGCACAAACGGCGCTTGTCAGAGATTGAGTGAGGGGGACAGTTAAAGAGAGAAGGGGGTTCGAAGAGAGGGAGAGTACGGAGGCATCCTTGGCGGCGGCGAGACGCACAAGCGCCGCCGATTGAAAATCAAGTTTGTTCAACCTCATTACGTGCGCCTCTGAGGAAAGGCTTCGCCGAATTCCCATTGAAAGACCAAGCAATGAGGGCGTCTCCCTACCTCCTCATTTTCCCTTTGGCGTCTCCTCGCATTACCTTTGACATGCCGCCACGGCCCTCTGTCGAACGTGCGAGCCGCTCGCCTGCAGCAGCCGCCATTTTGTCCCGCCGTTATTTCCGACCCACCTTCCTAGGCTACACTCTGGGATTCTTATCGCGCTATCTAGGCGTACAATCCCTCCATCTTCCATCTAAATTTTCGTTAATTCGTTCTTTCCCCACTCCGTTTTTATATCTCGTCTCTCTCCGACTTCCATAACTACTCCTGTTCTCTTTTCTTCCACACTGTGTCACTTCAATAACTGCCATTTTCTTTGTGCTTTCTTTCATCGTTTTATTTGTTACTGGATTCCTTGCTGTTTTATCACTCGTTGTCTTCTTTCCAGTGTACCCGATCTTTGTCAATATTCTTTTTTTTTATTTTTCTCGCTTCGATCTTCAAGCTTGCTTTAAAAAGCTCTATTCCAGTTGTCGTTTCTAAAACTCAGCCTTTGCTTCATTATCATACCTGCACGGTTCCTTGCTTATTCTTTGTCGGCTTATTTTATTCGTCCTACGCCGGGACGATTTTCTTTTATGTCTACGTTATTTTCAAGTTGCTAGTTTTCTTTCCACCTGTACCACCACACACTCTTCTTCAGACGTTGCCTGCACTACGTGAGTTGATTATAAGCTTCTGCACTTGGGCGTAAGCTTATCTCAACCTTTGTTGGTTTGCTGTTTTTTTTTTACTGCTCATTCTCAATCGAGCAGTTCGTTTTCTTCCCTGGACCTTGTTTGATCGATATGTGGGGGTTAACGTCCCAAAATCACCATTAACCACCATATGATTATGAGAGATACCTTATTGGAGGGCTCCGGAAATTTCGACCACTGGGGTTCTTTAACGTGCGCCCAAATCTGAGCAGACAGGCCCACAGCAATTTCGCCTTCACCGAGGACTTTGTTTCAGACTACACTTTAACATCAGGTTGATCGTCGATTACCCTGTCGAACACTCATGTATGACTTGTAAATAGTATCAACGGCCTTTTTCAACATCAATTGCGATTTGTAATACATGCTTCTGAGTACGCACGGCAAACGGATTGCTGGAGGCATGCACACGTATCTGGTTATTTTGTAATACATTATTGTCCGCGCTGAACAAAACATGCTCATAATTTGTTGTAATTATGATGCACTGTGCTGATTCTGCAAAAAAATAGGACAAAAACTTGAAACAATGACTCATCACTTGTTTGTTTTCAGCTGCAATAACTACACGGAGGTGAGAAAATGTGACCAATAATATGGCCTTTCAGTATGGCTGCCAAGTGAACTGCGCTTACTGTTGAATTACAAAGGGAGGAATGATTTCTGAATGCACGTGACGTTTTTACTTCTGAGATATACCGAAGCGTCGACGAAACCAATCTTCGGTTTGTGCTTCAGTTATCCGAGTTGGAAACCAACTAGAAGAATGTTAAGGGAAACGGTAGCCCCACCGTCCCTAATACGGAGAAAGGCCTTTCGCGCAGTCGTAATTTGGTCGGTTGCTACGCCGCAGATTTGATGACATCATTTACGTTATTGGTCGTGGTAGTGCTCGTAAACATGTCTGCAGACCACATCATTTACTTTGCAGTAAACAATCAATGTTTCTCGCCCTTTCCGAATGACGCCGCGTTATTAGTACCACAAGTCGATTGCCCTAGCGCATTTTCATCTGACTTTCAGCGAGTCCTAATGTTCCCGCCATGAATAATTGATTGTACCGCATTGCGTTTAACGATTCAGTGACATGTGCTGCACGCGATTAAAAGAAACCAGATCGATACACGTACATATGCATATGTTTCAAGGAACCAGGCCTGTTGGGCGGAACTATTCTAGAGGCACAGGGGAACTGGTGCTCGACAGTGAAGCATTATACCTTGGATCGAAGTAGCGTGACTAGACTGAGTTAGGTCTCTCCAACACGTGAGCATATTTAGGTGGTCGCCTAAGAACGCTGTAGCAGGCGTAGAGAATTCATGTAAGAACAGACAGAAAAAATAGCTGTATACGTTATATAGATTCGGATAGTCCTAAACCGAATAATGAAGGCAGATTATTTTCATCATGCCTCGCTATTCGTAAGCTGCAAACTTATTTGCCAATTATGATAATCAATACAAGAACGCTATCTCAAATTAACCCTTTATTATTTTAATGCACCCATATTTGGCATAATATGTATATATAAGTCTCATTATGCGTTGACACCTACAATAGAAACACCTGAAAGTTGGTGTAACAACAACAACAACAACGACAACGACAACAAGAACAACAACAACAACAGTAATAATAATAATAATAATAATAATAATAATAATAATAATTCAAGGAGTCACAGGGACGGTGTACTTACTGTGAGTGAAGCAACTTTATTGGGTCCACAATAGACGCGAGTCAACTTAGCGTCACCTGGCTAGGCCCACTCCGGGACGGTCAGGTTAAACCTGACCACACTCGCGCGGTCCCTCTGGACGCCTAGGGTTTGAAAGGTGAGGTCCTGAGCCTTAATAAGCTTCTTCATTTCCTCCTAGTGGAAAGGGGGACCGCCTAAGGCACAGCCCCACAGGACATGCTCGAAGTCCGCATAACTATCACACAAAAGGCAATCCGGGCTTGAGAACCATTCGGGGTATATCGTGTGCAGTGCCCCAGGTCTCGGTTACACACTGTAATGAATTATTCGTCAGGAGAAGCTTGGATTCCATCCTAATGTAAATTCGTGAAAATCATACCTGTTCTTAAAAAACCAGGTGAATGCTACGTTTCAGACAATATCAGGCCAATCGCACTAACGTCCAGTTTACTCAAGTTAATAGAAACAGTAGTGCATGTTTCCATAATGAAATTGGATTGAATTCAGGCAGGGATGTTTCATATGGCAAGCGCACATTGACCTCGAGAGTCGGATACATTTTGCGTGGCGTCAAGGGAAATACGCAGCTCTAGTAACCCTGGACATCAAAAAAGCATATGATTATGTTGAAAACAGCGCACTAGTCAGTCGTCTGAGAGAAATCGATTTCTCGCGTTATTTAGAAGCGTAGATTACGCAATTTTTAGACAATAGAAAACTTATTGTTCGCAACATGGTGTTTCATCAAGTACTTGTGAAGACAAAAAAGGGGTTCCTCAAGACGCTGTTTTGTACCTGGTTCTGCCAATATTTTGTTACGCTTGATCTCATATAATGAGAATGTTCAGACGTATCTGTCTGCTAATGAAATCGCGTTTTTTTTTCATTGGCTAATGACATTCACGCTCTCTATCAAAACCTCCAAATGCACTTATCTGAACTGGAACTTTGGATTGATGCATTCATCTTTCTCTAAACGAAAACGAGAACAGGTGTGCATTATTAGTATTGCCTATAAAAGAACCAGTACATATATCTCTCTCATACAGAACTGAAATCATTCCACAAGTTCAAAGCATCAAATATGTAGGAGTGATACATGACAGCTCTGTTTTATGGCGAACAACATTGAATATCTTGAAGAAAAGGGTGTCCGGGCAGTTCGCATGTTATGGAGTATAAGCAAAAAGTGATCAATAATGGACAAAGCCACGTTATTATCACTCTACTGCATGTATTTGAGACTGGTTCTACAACTTGGATGCGTGTTTTATACTCAACGGCACCTGCCCATTAGCTGCGTCCTTTTGCTTTTCTGAATAACTGCGCATGTGCTCTGAGCTACCTCAACCTGTAGTAAATAATGTTTTATATATGGAAGCTAGAATTCCCCCACTGGTCACCAGATACAGAATATTGGCTGTACAAATATATTTCAGGGCATTTCAATTCCTTTTAGGCATAAAGAAACAGTTTTTAGGGCACGACTGGGTTAATTTTTTTTTCATTGTCATTGGCCTAGATTTCACACCTCAAGTAAAATTACTACAATCTCTTCTTGATCCAGTGTCCACAAAAATTAGGGAGGCTATTCTGCTTTGTAACTCGATAAGTTTGGTTCAAATAAACTTCGATGACATTTTCTGTAATAGTGCTGAACACCTAACGAGTAATATGTTACGAGCTACTTTACAGGATTACCTACGGAGAATGCAAGCAAATGTCATCCTTGCGGTGGGCGCTTCAAAGAGGGATAAATGTAGTGGCATTGGTACATCGTGCTCTGTACTAGACTGGTCATTTTTTCTTCGAATTGTTGGT